ACAGTCTTTTACGAAACTCGAATGAAGAATAGATAAAAGAGTACACGTTGTACATGCAACGATACACGTAAGCGTGTGATTTGATTATATGTTTGGTTATGTTTGTTTTTTTTTTTTTTTTTAAGAAAAAATCGAAAGTTTATAAACTATTAAATATAGTGTCTGTTTGTGCATGTATTGTTTATCTCTATGTGCCCGCATCAACTTTTCGTTTTTCTTATCTTCCTAATTCGATTGCACAGAATTCATACTTTCATGAAGGCACTATTATCAATTTATTTCAAATTTATAAATATTTGAGAAAAATGTTCTTATTTCTTATTTTAATATGAATGAAAGAAAGTTAATGTAGTTCGGAAAGAGAATCTTCATTTCGATTGCCTTTCGATCCTCAGAGATTTTAGAAAAACTCCGTTTTCAATTTTAGTGTACTTTATCGTTACAAATCGACCTGGTATCTTGGAGGTGCGGAAGTAAAACGGTGGAAGGATAAGAAGCGTGCAGAATAAATCCTCGAATAATTCCCTTCGGCGCGGTAGAGCCGTACTTTGCGGATCGTGTTCGCTCGAGGATTCATTGAACACAGGCACGCGAGCGCATAAATATGTCGCTGGTTCATTATTTATCGAATTGTCTTAAGCTACCATGACGTTATACGAAAGTCCGCGGCTCACCTGTCACGCCTGCGGGCTGAGAGCACGTGACTTTACGGATACTCGCGATCATAAATCCGTCATCCATTGAAAAAGGGATAACTATATTTCCGAAATGCGTCTGACCGATGATAAATTGTGAAATTTGGAGAGAACACGTGTTTTCCACTAATTCTTTCTTTGCAACTTCATTTCCGCAAATTATTAATAGACAAAGTATAATTTAAAAAGTTTTATAATACCTACTTTAAAAATCTTATTTTTTTCTGACAACAATCTAATTTGCAATATTATTTCTTTATCTTATAGTTCAATTTATTCTTCGATCAGGATTTTTAATTAATATAAGAATTGGCGATTTCCCGCGGTTGACGAGTTTCTGGCTAAGGTATATCTTTAATTCACATCCCTAAAGAACGAACAACCGCGTACATGAGCAGAAATTCGAGTCGGCATTCCAACCTAAGCCGGTAATTTATTCCAACCACCTACACGCTTGTCTTATGCGCGTGCCACCGAGTAAATACGGTCGAGAGGTAGCAGAAATAACTGGAAAAACCTGTGTACTAACAGGAAAAGAAAACATGGGGAAGAAATTGGCGATAATGTCCTTGTAACAAAGAGAAAGCATGTTTCTGCTTTCTCTTAAAAATGTACAGATGAGACTAGCATATTCTAGCAGAGATGTGTTGCCTCAGCAAAGATAATAACCGAAAGTAACATAATGAGGCTCATTTTAGACATGTTTAGCGATTTAGAAATTTGCGTTAGAATTCAGGATATAATTTTTATTATAGTTGTTATATAATGGTAATAGAATAATAATGTTTATAGTCATACGTTATCAAATATATTTATACTTTTAAATGGAAAAAGATTCCCGTAAAAAGCTAAAGTAATTAGCGAAATTTTATAAATTTTTAAAAATGTGTGTATCTTAAAAATTCGTATTATTTTATATATTTTCCGTTTAAGAGCATCTAAACTATACAGGAATTTCAATTTAAATTTAAATAGAAACGTGTGAGGAAGGGATAGCTAAAAAAGAAAGAGAAAACGATCGAAACGCGAAGGAGATAACAAAACTGGGGACAAGAGAGTCTCCACATGTCTGATAAATCGGAGATTGCCGATCGCTTTTCGCGGCGGGAATGCGTGGGTGTCAGGATAAATTCTGACCTTAATCGCGATATCACCATTGTCGGAATTAATAATTTCTCAAACGGAAAGGCATCTGCGAAGGATATCCGTAAACTCGCCTACGCGGGCACGAATTACATGACGACGATAAATTACGCTATGTGGATACGGGTGCGTAATATAATGTGGCATGAATATTCGAACGCCATCGTTTCGAACATCCACGCTGGATATACAATAGCGGTAAGGAAACCGTGGTAATAAAAGTATTCCATTACTTTGCACAATAGATATTGCTTTCATCGTATATATAATAGAATGTTTCCCTAAGTTTGTATAGAAGCGTATTTATTGATGAATTTTACCATTTACTTTGAATTTCCTAACTTGTGTGTCTAATTTTCTATTTTTGCGGCAATAGATATATTGAACCTTTATGATTTGGAAATAAAACTTACGTAGGAAAAATATTGTATTTAAAAATGAGATAAATAATAATTTAAATATCTAAATCTTTGAAAATTGTGAACCTAATAAAAATGTTTTAACATAAATAAGAGAAGAATACCATTTTTTTTATCAAAATGGGTTTTGGTTCTTACAATTGGTAGTTCATACATGAATATACATGTGTGTAAATGTTTCAATTATAATTGACATCTTGCGATAACTCGCGATAACGAGATTGGTACGGCTATTACTGTTACGAACAAATTAATCAAATCGAATAAATCTCTCTCTGAAACACGGAGTTATATGATTATTACGAAACTGTCTCATGGAAACGAATAAAGTAATTTTAGTTATACATTTTATTCTTTTTCATTGTATAATATTTATCTTTAATATTAAATTGTTCTTCTGAAATTAAACTTTACATTTTCATAAAGAGAAAACAGCTCGAATTTATTAAGAAATATGTTCCTGAATTTAAACATAATTTTTTTAAAACATTTTGTTTTGTAATGTAAATATTGCAAAGAAATAACAGCAATTAACTTGAAAGTAGTAATCATGGAATAATTTTTATCGTAGCGCAATAAAATCAAAATTCCGATAAAAATAATTTTAATGATATTTAAAGAAATAAGTAAAGACTGGTATATGTGTATAATGTACATAAAAAAAGGAAAAGACTTTTTTATGATCTTTACAGGCAGATTATTGAGCTAATATAAATGTCTACAAATTTTTAAACAATTCACACATCAAATTATAACGAATACGCCTATAATTTACTCGTTAATCTCGTTTTATAGTTAAAAATGTGACTTCATATTATTTAATGATTTATTAATCGATCAACTAATATAATATAATCGCCAAGTACTTGACAAGCATTTCCAATTCAAAGAAATATAAAATATTTCGGAACATATATTCATAGCGTTTTGCACAATTTTCAAAATTTAAGCAGCTATAACTTCGTTAAAAATGAACGAAATTTAATTAATAAAAAAAGTCTTAACTCTTCAAGTCTCTACTTTCGAAAGATTACTATATTTTTTTCTTGAGTTTGATAATTCTTATATACTTAAAAAAATCACGAGCTGGACAAAATAGGCAATTTTCTTTTCTCTTTGTGAGCCTGATGCATACAAAAAATAATTTACGAAAATTTTCGGCTTTGCAATGCGAAAGCTTGAAGTTTTTCCTACATAAATTAAAATCAGTAAAAAAAAAAATGATGATTCAGGCATGAATCTGTTTATTCTTTCCGAGAAAGGAAAAAAATTAATTTTATTTGATTACTGAGATTTCAGTTAGTTAAATATTAATTGCAAGTTATACAAGGTTAATTGATCACTGATAACTAAGTGTTGCATTTTCAACTGCAGCATGAACCAAGAGTGTTGTAAGACGAAGTAGATTATCAATCGCTGCGCCTGGCTTAGCGCCGAGACACTACCGTGTTTCCAGATATGCTGTTCGATGCATTGTTTGGTGTACTTATGTGACTCGAATCTATTAAAAACTCACAAAATATCCGACTAATGATTTGCCTGACAACCGCAAAGTCTGTCTATTTATTTTATTCGAGATATAATTTAATTATACGTAATAATGAAAACGCGATAATACCAATGATGTAATTTATAAGAGATGCAAATCAACGACAGACTATAACAGTCTGATTTAAACAATTAATTAATATTTTAACGCTACACAGTGAGCTGCCTTAAACAATTACAATGTAGCGTATGGTCTAACTACAAATTGGACGACTAATTCAAACGTGGCAATATTTATAAAATATCTTGTATAAACACTCGTTACTTTTAACAATGCAATTATCCATACACTTTCAGACGACAAATAAATAAGTGGATGGCGAGACTGTTTACATGAAAAACATGCGCGTATTATCACGTAATGCAGGCGTAACCCGTTCGTATGTGATCCTTTGTCACGGTGTCACAGAAAGATTGCAATTATTAAATTACAAATCGCCGCGTTCACCGCGCATAATGCGTTCGCGCCTCTATTCCTGTATTAATTAAACAAATTGGTAACCGTGTGTTTTCTGTGTTCTTCCACCGCTTTTACACGCGAGCTTGTTTCCATTATGTCCGCCCAATTGTTACAATAAACTAACCAGACGTGACGTCAGTACAGTCGCAAATGTTCAACACGAGTGTTTACACAACTGTGAGAAATATAATATTTGCAACAACACTTTCATACGCCACTTTGCTACACTGCGATGCAACAAAGTGGCTTCTATCAAAATTCAAAGAAACATATACATACTGGAAAAGAAGAGAAAATTATGTTAGTAACATGTCAACCAGGGCTGGACAAAATACTTCAAAAAAGTAATTGAAATACAAAATACTAACAATCTTAGTATTTGAATTACAAAATATACAATAGTTTTAATCTTTCTATTTGAAATAGAAAATACAAAATACTTTCTGTGCTTGTATTTGAAATGTGTCCAGCCTTGATGTCAATGTAAAGATGTCTGCCTGTTTTTATATGTACGTATTTCCAACGTAGAGAGAGAGAAGGTTATAGAAATTATTAAATTTACATCATAATATCTTAGAAAGTATTATAAGAAGCAGTTATTTGATTATTAAAACAAGATTTAATTTACTCTGCCCGCATGAAAAATTATTAAGTATTATACATTATCAGACATCCTTTATAATAAGCTTAATAGTATATTATAAATAAATACCTGCAGGTATTATAAATAAATACCTGCTCGAAGAGCGTCCATGGGAACACTTGGGTACGGAATGCTGTAAGGATAACCTTCTTTTCGCAAAGTTTTGGGTTTCCTTCGTGGTCTGTATTTATAATCAGGATGTTCTTTCATGTGTTGTGCACGTAACCTCTTCGCCTGATCGATGAACGGGCGCTTTTCATCCTCCGTCAGGAGCTTCCATTCTGCTCCTGTAATAATTTGTATGTAATGACATGTGTCTAATGACGTTTTTACATACTTTTTTATACATCTACAATCAAAATAACTGTGGCTGTATTTTGACGTTTCCATTAGTTATCATAGCGACTATGCAGCTGTTACTACAGCCAAATTGGCTGTGGCTGCATTTTGACTTTTTTGGCTGCATTTTTGATTCTGGCGAGCCGCCGAATGCCACCCCGAAGGCCGGCCTGCATCCAAAAAAGATTTTGCTATCCATATGGTGGGATCATCGTGGTGTGCTGTTTTACGAGCTGTTTTCTCAGGGAAAAACGATCGATTCGAAGGTCTACTGCACGCAGCTAACGAAATTGAATCAAACATTGCGACAGAAACGTCCAGAACTGGTCAATCACAAAGGTGTCATATTCCACCATGACAACGCCAGACCCCACACCGCAATAATCACTCAGCAAAAATTAATGCAACTTGGCTGGGATGTTTTGCCCCACCCACCGTATTCACCAGATCTTGCGCCATCCGACTACCACTTGTTCTGGTCCCTGCAAAACTCCTTCAACGAGAAATCGTTCGCTGATCAAACAGTTGTGAAAACGTACGTCCACCGGTTTTTCGCCTCTAAGCCCCAAACCCTCTATGAGAGCGGAATAATGAAATTGTTGGAAAGATGGCAAGAGATTATCAACAAAAATGGAGAATATATCATTGATTAAAATTTATCCTTTGTATGAAAAAAACTTGTTTCATTTAAGCCTTAAAAAACCGAACGAATATATGGATCCACCCAATAGTTGCGAGAAACAAAGGGTCTAGCCGAATAAGCACATGAAAAGTGCCCCCAAGCCAAATCCAATTTTGAGTACCTACCATTGTTAAGCTCGATAAAAGATAATTTTACACCAAATTTTAACCTGCTAAATCTATTCATGCTGCAGTTATGATGCAAAACATCAATTTCTATTTCTATTTTTATTTTCCTATCGTGTGAATTAAAAAATCTGAAAAAATTTGACACACTTTCTAGCATGATATTACATCTAAAAAGAATTTTTTACGATAAATGTGAATTTAAAAAAAATGAAAAGGTTGTAAATGCATGTTTTTTATTGAAAATATTCGAGTACTGTCTTCAATAAATTATGGTGAATTAATCATTCCCTAATAAATAAAATATGGCGTATTCAGATTTTTTAAAGGTGTGGAGCATTTTTTTAAAAATTAAAACTCAGTTTTTTAATTTTTAAAACAATGTTCCACAGCTTTAAAAAAATCTTTCTTAGATAAAAAAATCTTTTTTTAGATGTAATATCATGCTAGAAAGTGTGTCAAATTTTTTCAGATTTTTTAATTCACACGATAGGAAAATAAAAATAGAAATAGAAATTGATGTTTTGCATCATAACTGCAGCATGAATAGATTTAGCAGGTTAAAATTTGGTGTAAAATTATCTTTTATCGATCTTAACAATGGTAGGTACTCAAAATTGGATTTGGCTTGGGGACACTTTTCATGTGCTTATTCGGCTAAACCCTTTAATAGCAAGTTTCAAATTATCATTATACGATTGTTATTGCTTTTCTGATACATGGTTTATGTTTCACATGTCTACCGTTGCGTTCAAACCGAGGTTCAAACGCTTTTGGGATTTCACGGTGGGCCCCACGGACGAAGGGATGCAAGGGATAAATCGCGAATCGTTTTTAACCCCTTCATCATTCTCTGCATCTCCCTCCACTATGCTAGCGGGCTGATTGTTTTGCACAGAATTAATTACCACTTGTTGTCGGCCGTCGAGATGCGCACAAAGCGCGAAGCCCCGGTTCTGGTATTCTGGAAGCGGAACCCGCTGGTAGCGAGGTGCGATGCCGACCCTGATGCCGAGGCTGATGCAACGGCGCGGGCGGTACAATGCACCCGGGATTTGCACTGCGACGCTGCCAACAATGGCCGCCACGGTGAGACGTCGCGACGCTGCGAAGTTCACAGCTGTTTACTGGAGACTGATTTTGTTGAGAAACTCGCGAGGATCGGTATAAAAGGATTGAATACGAAATCCAGAGTATCTGGTTTGCGTTTCTTTAAATTTACACTCTCAGAACTCAGAATAAATCTTTTTCTTTGAAAGATCTCTTTTAAGAAATATCCGCCTTATTTAAAAAAATTCGAAAACATGAATCATATGAGAAGTGCCGATGTTGATTATCTTGGAAATAAGAATCCACGAAGAAAATTTGTTTTTATTGTTGTCGTCAAACGAAATGGCTCAATTCGAGGTTTTAATTCGGGATTTGTTCAAGATGAACCGGTCGTGAAGTTGTCAAGAGCGACTTTTTCGTACTCTCCAAGTTTCGCACGAGGACTTTTATATCTTTCCTTTCCATGGTCAGGATTACCAGACACGAATAAAAAAGTTGCCGGAAAAAAGGAGAGAAAGCGAAGTAATATTCTGAACGGTCGACAAAATACAAAATTTCATTTGGGAACGAGATAAAAATTCTCGATATAGAAAAATGGAGAAAGAAAAAATAAACGAATTGAAATCAAATTTTTCGGAATAATTTGAATAATTTAAATAAGATTGCAAACGGAGTTCAAACTTATTAGAAATTAGCGAATTACCATTATTTTCAGAAAATTATTTTGTGACCAAAAGATCCAAAAAAAGGAGAAAATAAAATAAGAGAGGAGAAAAACAATAGAGAGAAACTGATAAGAGCGCAGGGTGCCGAGGGTTCACAGCGAACCCCACAAATCCCTTGCTCCTGCTGTTGTTGTTACTGCCTGCTAACAACAACAGAGCACGTCGACTGTTGGACAATACGGATACGTGGTAGCGCACAATGAACTCCGAAGAAAGGTATCGGCAAACGCTGGATGAGAATCCGACGTTGTGTCTTTCGAGACAATAGCGAACTGATAACAGCCTGTGTCGGGATCGAACTACTCTATCCTTAATAAATAAAACCTCTTGAAACGTATATTTTCTCCGGCATTTCTTAGATTGGCGTTTCTTTATCTTGCTTTAGGTATGATGTCATCAATGTTGGGATAGAATAAAATGCGTAACTTTTACTGTAATATTTTTATTATTACAATATTAAAAAATATTTTTATTCCATTTAAAAATATACATATGTTAGCACCTAGCTAGTCAAATGACCATCTACATTCAATAAATTTCAAAATAATTAAATAGTTGTTATTAAATTACAAAATGATTTTTAAACGCTACTGTCATATTTAATCTTTAGTTTGCTACTTACTTCTAACGAAATTATTAACTAATTTTGAAGAAATTAATTTATAAAGTGAGGTAAAGAAGCTGTGTGTTGAAAATGAATGAACAGCTTAGCAAAATATTACGACAATAACATTAACTTCGAGGTGCTGACATCTTTAATGTAAATATAATTTTTTGAAATATATATATATATATATAATACAAAAAGATAGTCATTTCATAGTAAAAACATCTTTTATCATAGAAATAATAGCCTTGAATTGATGATTCACGGGTCGCGTAGATTTGTGTACGGAATCAAAAAGCCGAGGCAACTTCCGGTTGTGCGAAGGGGGTAGCCCTCTGCTCTCTATTTATATTATGGCTTATCCAATCGATACACGTTTTCCCGTCTGAAAGGCAGGTGGCACGATCGAACAAGAGAGGGGCGGTGGAATGGGCGGCGGGGGTGACGGGGTATTCGACGTATTTGTTTAGAACAAAGACTTCTCGGTACTCTGATGGTATTAGTAAGTTGGCATTCGCGGGCAATACTCCTTTATCCTCTCTTTCCTTCTTTCTGATGCCGACGACGACAACGACGACGACGACGACGGCGACGACGACGACGATGACGCGAACGACGACGAGGACGAGGAGCGAGCTTAAAGCACAATGGCGCCCGCTTTTCAGTCTTTTCCCGTGGACAATACCGTTTATTTAACATCGTTTAAAAGTACAAAGCCTGTTAATTAATGGATGGGGATTGGCGAGGAGAAGATAGAGACGAAGAAGGTAAAGAAGGAAAAGGAAGAAAAGCAGAATAGTGTGGCCGTGACGTCGCCCTCGTTTCTATGACATGACCAATGCCGATAAAGGGTTGCGATAAAAAATACGTTGATTGGTTTGTCGATTATGTTTGGAATATTTCGTTATATTCTTTTGTGATTTTGAAGAAATGGTTTTGGCTTTATTTTAGCAATTTAACTCAATGTCTTACGTTGTATATGCGTATATATATGCATTATATGCGTTGTATATGTGTATATTGCGTTGTATAATGTGTATAACACATTTTGCATTGATTTTGGAGAAAAAAGAATTACGATTTGAAGTGTTGGAAACGGAAGATGAAGGGGTGGCGATGCAGCTACTGCATCGCCGATCGATCGGACTCTCCCTCCAACCCTTCCCGGACTTGTCCCCGACGATGAAACGTGGAAATTGGAAAACGTTTCCTGCATTTCCTGTTAGCGCGGGGGCTCGGCGACTTGGAGCACCGAAATCGATCTTGCGCTGTCAGGATTACATGAGAAAATACGTTCAATGTATTAAAAATACGCCGCCGAATAAAATATTGTTACGGGCAGTAAATAAGATTTTACTCTGCTAATTAATAGTTGTCATCGTTAGAAGGATATGTAATTAAATTCTTAATACAATGACTATGTAGCAATAGCCATAGATCATATATTTAGAAAAGGTTTCGGAAGGGCGTCATGAATTCATCATTAATGTTATAAAGATAAAAAAGATATCGTATAATATCAAAATAACATAGATATTAAACTTTTTAGCAACGAACATCATGAAAAATTAATTCTGTATAATTAGATTTCTTCGTTTTTTGCAATGCAAAGTATAAAAAAATTCGATCTAAATTGGGCAATAATAAGATGTCATTACAAAATATTATTATATTTTTTTCATATCAGTATCATTATAATTTTTTTTTATATTATATTCTTTATATATTTTTATTTTTATATGCTGTACTGACATTGTAA